AATGTGTGTGGTTGTTTGTGGCTGAGGGAGAGTCAGTTAGGATTTCATAAATACGAGAATTGCATATTATCTTATATAATGAAATTGATAATAACATAAATCTTTGAATACATTTAAACTCTAACATAAAATATACGTATGTTATGTTAATTAAAAACGTTATCAAATCTAAATAAATTAAGTAGTTCAAGTTGACAGTGTGACGTGTACTTGATGAATTAAGTATGAAACAGAGAGCAAATGTGTTAAGTATAACTTTATAAAACATGTTTTGAATGTTAATTATGATAGAAATATGTGCGACAAGTACGAACGTGTCTTTAAGTATACAAACGCTCACACGTTTTTCGGTAGATATTTTCCTTCCAACAAAATAACAAGAGCAAATATAAAACAATAATTTATTTCGGAACAGAGGCGTCTTAACTCTTAATATCATCTAAAAAAGATATACTCGTAACATATAAAAGAACGCGAGATACACGTGCAATGTATATCTAAGAGGTGGATGTAGGGTGCACTGATTGTTGTTTTAATAGTGTAACTTTTACCATGTACATGTCAATTTGTCGACATCTAGGGCATATTATATCATCTCACTTTTAATCAAGTATAATAACAAGAACTGTCAGAGGAGACAACAACGCTCGACTAATTAAATACTGGACACAGAAGAGGAAGACAAAAGTATCTCTGTTATACATTTATTTCTGTATCAGTATTAAGAAAACACTCAAATGTTTAATATTTAACATAAGATGTGAATTAGGAACATATACTTGAAGTTTGAGATTGACACCTTAAGAAATAAAAAAAAATTATTGTAAAAATATTTGAATGCACAAACACTTAAATCTAGGAGCGGACGCGCACAACAACAATCATCTTCCTGAATATAAAAAAGTTAACTGTCCAGATTTTGAAAAACTAAAGAAAGGATAAGTAATTTTGTTTTATCTAAAAATATAAGATAAATTCGAAATGTTTGGCACTTAATCGAAGCAATAGAGAGATTCAGAATTTTAAAACAGGCTGATATGAATAGGGAACTAAAACTGGCTTTCAGAGATAAGGAAATCAAACCAAACATTTAATAGCACGTGACCTTTACTAGAAAGTCCCTTGTAATCTGCAGGCTGATATATAGTCACACGAGCAAATAGATGTACATAGCATGAATTGCCTTATACTAACATCTTGACTATATAGGGTTTTTACAAAATGGCCAAAAATAAGAAAAATTCTAAGTACTATACTATATCGCTATCTTAGAATCTAGTAATCTTTTGTTATGAGTCTGTAGTGTAAAAATATCAGTAAATCTTGACACCGGAAGTAAATAATTAAATATTAGAACAAAAAAAAGCATAGCACATGGAATGTACTAATATAGTGCTAAAATGCTGTGAGATTATAAAATATATAACCTTAAGAAAATGCATCTGTCATGATCTCGTGAAAGTTCGGCTCATTTCGTCACTTTGTCAACAACAAAAATCTTGTCAGTTGGAAGATTATTAGAAAAAATTATACATACGGAAAGTCACGAGCTATTAATAAAAAAATTTTTTACCAAATTTCGACCTGGTTGGTAAAGGAGCTGACATAACTGCACATATTTATCACCCCGATTATTTTATTACTAGTATATAAATTCATTGGTTGATATATATGTGCCCTTCTGTAGGTGAATTCATCCGATGTTAAAATTGCTCCACGTCACTGACTCTTTTCATTTTCATAGACGTTACTTTTCTTTCATATAAATTATGTGCATAATTATTTTTGAAAACAGCGTCGTAATGGGTGAAAAAATTGGAAAACTTTGTAATTTCCATTTTTTCCCCTCAAAATAGCTTGAAAACTGAAACATGTGGTGTGACATTTACATTTCTCAGATGTTAATTATTTAGAAGATTTTTATTATGTTTGACAAGATGTTATTTATGATATAATGTGAACTGTGAGGCCTTGTCTGATGACATTGTCATTCTGAGAGATTTAAGAATCAACACTGACCTTTAATTAAAAAATAAATAGTTGAGAACACTTCGACTAAGTACAAGGTCAAGTTTAAAACGTTGTCGTGAATCCCGTTCAGTGCTTATTTTTCTTGTTTGAAGAAGCAAACATCTTCGACACATGGTAGTCTTTAATGTGCTTAAAATTTTCAACTAAGTTCATAGTTTAAAGCAAATCAGATAAACAATAGAACAAATTGTTGCTTTATGTGTGTGTAGTTTAATTGTTCATGTTTGAAAAATTATTGTGTGAAAATACTTACCAGTCTGCAGTTAACAGCATATATTCTAGCCACAAGCATCACTCTTTGAAATTATGCAAATGTGCCTTAACTTAAGCCAGAGGGTTTTTTTCACTGCGCAATACTTTAAAAACTTGAGTGATTTTATCTGTATATATATATATATTTGTTTGCTAGTCATTGGGTTTATTTGGCGGGCGGGTGGCTGGGTAAATGAGTTGGTCTGTCGGTCGGTCGGTCGATCAGGTTGTAGGTTTTAGTCATATACCAGCGGTAAGTTTCAAAAAGAATGCTCCTGGATATTTCAACTTCTCTATAAGAATTATCTTACTCAATAGAGAAACAAATGCCGATCGAGCAGACGACACATACTGGAAAGATTCGAAGATGTTGCGTTTCCTGTAATATATGTTTGATTGAAATTTTATTAACGAGATCATACGATTTAAACCTCTGTTCTCTACGTATAGTATCTAATGGAAAGTGTTTGTCATGTTCTTTCTTATTTTTATTTTATGTTTATTTATTATTATCATTATTATTATTATTGTTGTTTTATTTCTTTTTTATGTTGTTCTATTTTATGAAATTCAGCTCAGCAGTGTAAAATGTAACTCTATAGACGACAACATTTCTGATGATATCCTTTTGACCATAAAACAATGCATTTTCATTCATTCGCGATGATTCATACTATAACGACGAGTCCATTTTCATTCCAAGTTGCACCATGTATGAAATTTCTATTAACAGTTGAATTAATAAGATAATTTGATAGGAAGACATATTTGTACAATGCAGCGCCTTACAGAATTAAATTTTATTAAAGGTATCTGATATTTGTCATTTTACAAAGTATTATACAACAACAGATTTCTTTATTTTTCCACACCCACTGTCTAGCGGGAACATCGTATCTGCAACACCACCCACATTTGACCCACGTGATCACTCGATTGCAGATGTTTGCGTTAAAGTTATGCGAAATTTTGCAAGTATTCGGTCACGTTAAGATTTGTATTGGCCGCAAATTTGATACTTATACAATATAACAATACCATTGGTATTTACATTATATCCAGATTTAAAGGATTAAGGATTATCGCACTGGATTAATATTCCGATTATTACAATGCATATATGCCTGATTACCTATACAATGTGCTGAGACGTTAAAGTTCTTACTGTAGACATGTCAAATATGGAAGATATTTGTTGATTTTAACATAATAACATTATCAAATGTCAATAAAAAATACAAATGTTTGTGAAATATTATCTATCTATCCACAAAGTGACAGTGTTGTCAGTATTTTAGACCAATAAATGTTATATGAGAATCCATCTGCGGCAGTTTCAAAATTTAGTATTAAAATGTTGAATTCTTCTAGAGTCGGTGCAAGGGGGGTGTGGACAGTATCATGTGCTTAATGACCAGGCTCAATCAAACTGAATTTGCAAGATAGATTTTTAATTTTTGTCGTTTGGACGTTTTTTGGGGATTTCATTTCTTTTTTCCTTTCCCCCCACGGGTTAGACAAGTACTCGTTACAAAATGATAACAGGAAGCGCAAATAACGCATTCCTTTAGAAATGAAGTTGAGCACCCTGAAGAATCGAGTTACTTTATAGAAACTAAATAAGAAAGAAAAGCGATATATGTTTATAAATAAACATTTTATTACATGTATATATAACAACAACATTTTGATTTACATAATAAACACTTCTGGCGTGTTTCTTTGTAACATAATATTATTTCACAGACAAAGTAACATAAATAATATAATTTGTGTAACAAATATTATACCAAGCTTTTATACAGCCTTAAGTCAGAGGTATTTTGTGTGGTGAGGACGCTTTACACAACAAAAAATAACATGCAATGTGCATTAATATTGAAAACAATATATATTTGTCCCTTTAACCGTTTTTCTATAATGCTTACGCTCCAATAAATTAGCACGTGTCAAACTTTTAAAGTTCCATTTTATGCTCGTATAGTATACAGTTTTCTTAAGTGTTTGCTTTAAATTGCTTTCGAAAACGATATAACACGAATGTTGCCAAATACAGACATGTACCCTTATTAAACTACACGATTTTATTCTATTTCATGTCCATAAAATAGTCCTCTAAGTAAAGTTCCGATATTTACATTAGTCCGAATTAAAATATATTCAGTAAGGTAATGTTTGATCAGGAGGTTAGCATACTTTTGGAATATTTGTCTAAAAGATGTACTTCTCGTTAAAAGAACATAAATACAAACTGCTTCAATTGTAATTTATTTCAACTCTCAAGTCCCACTTAAGACCTCTTAAAATCAGTATACTGACTTTTTCAAAAAATTATTAAACTAGCTCCCGTTAATATTTCGTATCCTTGGATTTTGCTTTCAAAATAAAATGAAACATTTATATAAATGATAAAAGAAATAATCTTTTTGAATGAAGTTAAATGTAACTTTCTTTAACATCTGCCAAAATATTGATGCGGATTAACATTTTTGGTCTGTTAAAATTCCTGCGGTCAAACTTTGGTCATATAAATCACACGTGTAAAAATGACATTGTTAAATGTGCTAAGCATGTCCGTTATTATAGCTTAAACCTTATTTCATTATCTTGTGATCAAATTTTACTTCTTGACCAATACTTTGCAAAAACTTTGTTTAATATGCTAAACCGACTACAAAATTTAAGGTATTTTTTATTAACAAATGAAATGGCTAAGTTCCAAAAATTTTACATGTTTCGCATGCATAAGTTTTTTTTATCTAAATAGAAATGTCGGTAAACTTCAATCCCCAAAAAAAATTAACAAAAGGAGTGTAGTGTTTCTTCTAATATATCAATTCCTTGTCATAAACAATGCCCTTAATGTATAAATAGCTAGAAAGCGAAACGAAATACACGGGCGTTGCGGACTGATTCCCGCCTTTTATAATGAAGTAAAAAAAAGATATCATATGATTACAGCGAGGACAATCCCGAATGACTTCTTAAACATCTGTTATTAAATCGACCATTAATTCACAATTGTCGGAAATGATTTAAAACAAAAAAGGTCGGTATGCGTTGTTTATTACCAAAACACTTGCAATGCGTTGGAACTACGCAGTTGGAACAACGCAAAGCTTTGATTTATCAAATAAAACTAAACAGGTTATGAAAGTAGTGATTTTTAAATCGGAAGAATATTAAAATAGTTCGGGCGTTCTGAAGCGTTAAGTTGTAAATTATTTGTTACAATGTTATCACACAAGCATCTCGTAAGAATCTTGTTACAAGTTAAAATAACTTAAAATTAGGTACGTGCTGAATAAATGGGAGCTCTTTGACATCCGAGGAACAGCAAATGATGTCACAAAGGTCACGTGTCATTTGGTGGGTCTAGCTATATATTTAAACAATTTTTTGGTATCTTTAATATCTTATTTTGCACTGCGTTATTTTCAGTCAAAATTTTAGCTAATTCTTTATTATCTAAAAATAGAATTAACATAACTACTTATGCAATAACAATAGCGTCACCTTTAAAAGCTATGTTTGTTAATAACTAAAGATAATACAAAATAGTCAAAATGCATTCCTGTCTTGAGAAATGGCGGAGTAATAAAATCACCACCAAATCATTAAACTGCATGGACAGCAAGCACTATCCCGTCTAAGTGAAAGGAAAAAAACAGCAAACAAAAAAGTTTTAGAACAAAACATTTTAGAAAAGTGCAAGTATGTTTTAACTCAAACGAATGGTGAATAAGAAAGTACTCATGTTTGAATAAGGCACTTTCCCTAGTCAAATGTGCAAAATTAAAATAATAAGAAATTGGAACTATTTTAACAAAAAAACAAGTGAGCAAAAATATGGCGCAACATGTAATAGAAGAACTTAAATAAATTTGTAAGTTCGGTCTGTGAAAATTAACAAAAAAAGAACAAGAAAACATTTGTACAATTCTATATACAAAAACAAAACATATTTTATAATTTTTACAAAGGAAAAAATAATTGCACCTTTACAGCGACTGTTAAAATGAGTCACTAAACACATCATTACAACAATTTAAACATCTTATGAAAATTACACGACCCTCAGGAAAATTACATACCAAAATATAACATCATTATGTTGTTTCGTATGCTACAGTAAACAAAGTCGGTTCCGGTCATAGCTAAAGTAATTTGATAAATCGAAATTATGAAATCAAAGTGAAGTAGTTGTGAAAAAAATATTTCTATTTTCTTATTCAAATACCAGAAGATAGTGTAGATGATTGGATTTTTCTTCTTTTTTTGCATTTTTTTTTCTTCTTAAAATTACAGCCGAAATGTGTCCAAAAAACGTCTTGATTACCAACGTAACACTTTAAGGTCAAATATTACATATGTTTTATCCGAATAAGTGTCACTCACTTGTTAACTGTGTTGTACAAAAGGTGTTTCAGTTATTTAACAATTGGTGTGGCAGTCTGTACGTCTAAGCAAGTGGACTTAACCCCAAGAAATCGTCTATGGTCGTGACAATCGCTTTTTAACACTTGTTAGCCAATGCGTTATTATTTTACACATTGCCAAAGGCAAAGTAGTTGTCGTAAATTTTTTCATGGAGATGTCGTAAAAGGCGTAATGTTTAAGGACATTCGGGTCAAACTAAATCATTAATGATTTGTTACTGTAGCATGTTTCCCTAAACATTAAATGAATAGTATGTTACAATGATGTTAACACGAAACATTAGAATATAGCAGTGTAAGTTTTCTAAAGATTACATATACATAATATAATAATGCACTCTATATGTATATTTTTCGTTGTATTTGAAAGGCAGTATAGCCAGTTTTCAAATGGCATATAAACCCACATTTTGTCTGCATCACAGCTTGCTTGCTTACTTAACTGAGCGTTCCCGTCGGAAGAACGTAGTCATATTCTGGGGTTATATCCCCAATGTCATCTGTCGGGCAGTTTTACCAATACGAAATACGCGTATTGACAGTTATATAAGCCAAGTACTTGTGTTAGTTCAAGGCTATAGATTAGTTTTTTATACTTATAATTGATAAGTTATTTCTTTGTTTCATCTATACATGGAATTCACGCGCCTTACACCGCCGCCTCGGCGGTCACCATAGTTCATATCTACTCGTGAAGAAGAAAGTCCATCACTAACAACTCTTGGGGAGCGCGGTGAAATCCCTTCATTTGAATATTTAGCACTATGTCTGTTCATTCGTTTTGGCACAACAGCGTATCCATAGTCCAGTTCTTCCTTTAACATGTCACTCGGCATACTTTTTGTGAGGTCTCTTTCTGAAAACATGCCAACTTTCTGTCGCATAATTGGCGCGCTGTTGTCTTCGTAATCGGCTGGAGGAATATCCGCGATATGAGACCTTCCATTGTAAATGACAGTTGATCTCGGTTCTATACCTGAGGAGTAATTACCCGATGATCTGTTACTATGAACACCGGACGAAGAGGCAGGTCTAGATCGTCTTGGATACTGGTCAAAACTTGAAGAACTTCTCGGAGTCATGGGACTTCGGGGAGAAGTTATAGGTTGGTAGACATCATATCTGTTTTCTGGTGCTACAGGTGGCGTGGAAATGCCATTTGAAGAGTGAAGAGATGAAATTTTGTCATCGGACAAGTCAAGGTTTGAGTTCGGTTTGCCCTCAGAACTTGTAGGTGATGGGTCTACAATGCCGCTCTCGTCTGAGCCATTTCTGTGTCGGCTGCCAACAATTGGTATCTGAAGACATTTCCTTTTGGTTGCTTTGTCAAGATCGCCATGTCTGCGGACCACAGTGTCATAGTCTTTTGGAGGCAGTAAGAGAGGCGCGGCAGCTTGTGTTTCTGTAAGCCGAAGACGAGCTTTAAGTTCATCTGTTACGGAATCAAACGGAACAGCGTCTTTAAGACTCTGAAGATCTGGTTCAATATCGTCACTTCCGGAAGGAAATCCCTCGTCGCTGAATGATCCCGAATCCGCCCCGGAATCTTCAAATTGAGCCCGGTCGCTCATTCCGTCAGAGGAATTGAACCGGTTGTTGTTGTGGTTCATGTGAGTAGTACGTACATGAACATTGATTGGTACTCGGCTTGGCTGGTCTTCTATATGACCTTGCTGGATGAGTTGTCGTTCGATATCGAGCGTTCGATCAGCGTTTGAAGCAATGATGTGGTTAAGGAAACGTGTGAACGTTGTCGCCGTCTCTGAAGAGTCAAATCTGTATACGTGCACGTGAACATATCTGAAATTATAGAATTGAAAATAAATTAATAATTTCCACAAATTAAATATCTACATTACAAAATTGTTGAATTAAATCCTGTCTTGCCGAAAAATATTAACTTTATCAACTGCAAAATAATGCGTTAAATTATTAAACTACAGTTAATGATAGCGTAGAAATGTTTATGAGAGCAAGGACTTTGTCTAACAGAAATTTATTAATACATTGAAATAAATATATATTCACACATAAGATCGTCTTATCAATTAATATTCTATCAAACGCAAACAAAACATAGCATATTTCTCTACATAGGCACTTTGCCCTGATATTTATAGACCTAGATCGATCAGCACAATTAATTAATGTAAATTCTTGCAAGATCTATAAGTACTTAAGCTGAAGTTAAAGGCCCTCCATCGATATTAACTACCGTGAATAACTAAGGACAAATCTTCACATAGATGAAGAATCTACGTGGGTTTCAAGTGCCTATTTTTAATTCAACGTTTTTAAAAATCTGCCCAAGGATATTCAATCAATCTGAAATATCCCAGCAAGTTAGCTGATTAGAGATAAAGTAATTCGGTTTATTAAATCTCCAGGTCGCAAATCCCAGTCCCGATATCAATATGAATAGGCAACTTGAAATATGCATTAAATAAATTTAAAGAGGAACATGCATTGCCACTTAAGTTTCGGTGTTATATATTAATATGTATATTTAAGTATATTTGTTTTTGTGATAAAATATGTCTACAAAATTACGCAATTTATAAGCAACTTATATAGCAACATAATTATTTTCTTCTTGCTTTTATTATAATGTTCACCTGTTTCTATTTATAATTTAAATAAGACGCATTTGCTTTGCGAGCGCAATGCATGAAATTTTTTTTTCTTACTTTAAAATATTAATTTTAAATATTTATATAAAACGTCGACGATAAATCCCTCATACTTCTAGTCATATAGTATGTTTTTTTAGTTTTTTTTAGACAAAGTTTGTGAAAAGTTTGAAGTAGCAGCTGTCTTTATGAATCGAGAATGCAGCTAAATTGTTTTGATAATCAATAAATGCCTACCTCTGCGTTCTTGGAACATATCCGAGATAGATACAGGCAACAATGTCGTCTGGTGTTCCGTCCAGAGGATTCTGGGCCTGCACGGCGAAAGTGATGTCACGTGACGGTATAATCGGGAACTTAATGGTCTTTATCTTCTTCCCTTTTTTCTTTTCATCTTGTATGTCCTGAGTAATCTTCATCTCTTTCTTTCCAACTTGCAAAGTAAGTTTCGGTGCATATTTCCATTTCTTTGCTTTCCTGCGTAGGTCATTGATAACCGGGTCCGTGTATCGAACCCCGCGCAGGCCGCTGGTTTCTACCCATCCGAGAAACTGAACGTAAAACTGTTGTTTCTTCGATCCCAACATTGTTATGTCTTATATAATCCACAGACTCTGTATATATAAATTAGAATTATTAAATTTATATCCAATTGCGGTTATGCTAGTTCATATTAATATATTGTCTAAGTTCCGAACAAATTCTTTAATGCTAATTAAAATTAATTTTTATTATATTTATTTCTAGATCCTCACTTCTCAACACCGTAAAAAAGAATGTCGTTGACAGGTAGAGACCGCCTCTAAAATACCATTTTACAACTATCGTGTTTTACACCTGCCGTACAATTTAATCGCTCCTATCAATGAAATTGTCTACCTGAGCGTAGGAATACAAAATAGTTTAATACTGTATACGGGTGTAATTCGGTTCTTGGACGGTTAACAATACGCTTGTTTAAATATTTCCACGCCTCGTTTCTCATGGTGGAATTTCAATAGATCGGATCTTGTTTCGGTTAACCGATGTACACGGGCGATAATAATCTTTCTTAAAGCGAAAATCTACTAAAATCTGTGGAAAGAATAATAGAAAATTGACAATTAGCTAAATAGGGAGGTTCAGCTTAATTCTACTTGCTTTAAATCTTTGAATGGACGTATTTGTTAATTGCGAAACAGTGTTAGTCGGTTTTATGGCAGTGTTAGATGTTAATTACCTCAAAATATTCAATCCGATGTTCGAATAATTGTCAATATATGAGCCGCGTCACGACAAAACCAACGTAATGGGTTTGCGACCAGCATGGATCCAGACCAGCCTGCGCATCTGCGCAGTCTGATCAGGATCCATGCTGTTCGCTATCAGTTTCTCTTCTTGTAATAAGGTTTGTAAGCGAACAGCATGGATCCTGATCAGACTGCGCGGATGCGCAGGCTGGTCTGGATCCATACTGGTCGCAAATCCATTATGTTGGTTTTTTGTCGTGACGCGGCTCATATTATATCTTTGTGGTTTTAGATTTTAGCCACCCAATGTGGAAGCGGTTTTATATGTTAAACACTTTTGAATATACTTATTTTCCCACAGTCCACTGTAAGAATCCGCTGTTATCTCTTTTAAGAAAAATTACATTGACCTACTTGTTTTCTGGTGACATATTTAGGGCTATTCTGCTTCGGTCTAAATTATATTCATTTACATTTAGATGTGTCCATTAGAATAATATACTGTTGAATCCAACACAGCAAAAATGATTGATAATTTATCTTCGGATTGGTTTGTTGATGAATTTTGTATTTGTTTTGTTAATTTTTTACAGTAATTTTTTTGCTTCCTAATCAATAAGTACTACGTATTTATATAGCTTCTATTACTTTTTGACTTTTTTATCGACAAATTTTGAAGGATGCGCAGCAATTAATGAACACCAGCATCTTGGTTGTCACGTGACCTTCTTATCCCTTTTATACCACAAAACAATGTTTTCATTCGCCTCATATATGCCTCTCCTTCTGATATAAAATATTAATCGACCATGAGTTTGTTGTTAGAAGTGACGGGATCGGTTTAAAATTTGATTTCATCTAGATACATTAATTGAAAATAGATATTTATTTCACTTATGTGCGATATTGAACATATTTTTGCTTTTAAATGCTTTTTTTTTATCAAACTCGATGTTGTTTATTATTAACGACATATTCGTTGTCCAATGAAATTGTATATACCGGGTATTATTCATGATTCAAAATTTCGAAACATGCGGGTAATATTATTTTGGGGAAAGTTTTAAGATGTTTTGCACTATTTTTGATTTATACAATTCATCGCATGATCATTAAAGCGACTTGACTCAAGATTAAGTTAATTAGATGAAAATTTTGAAATTGTTTTAAATAATGAGCAAATGAAGTACATGTAGTTTAACTTTAAAACCAAGTATTTTTTCCTTGTCTTTTCGATGACCGCACGAAGTAACACGATTTTACATACACAATGATCTATAAGACTTGGAGCGGGCAAGCTGTCTCATCCGTGTTAACTAGAAGCTTTAAAATTTATCTTCCAATGTATATATGTATATGTATATGTATATGAAAGGCCTATTTTTCTATAATGTCCTGTTAAATAAGACATCCCAAATGCAATCAAGTATATTTTCCCAGTCGTGAATCTGAGACAATCAACATATCGTTACATATCTTTTTGAGACATTCCTTCTTTTTTAGAAAAAAAGAAACACATACACACATGTAATACTAAGTATAATTATGTTTAAAAATTGCGCCCTTCTGTTTAGAAATGTGTTGAAAGAAATGTATAGGGTACCGGGGTACACCATCGGACTCCCAATCCGGATGTCATGGGTTCGAAACCCACCAGTGGTGAAATTCTCTTTCGACACACATAATCCACATTGGTGTGATTAGTCGGTTACGATTCTAAACACCTATACCAAGTTTATATCACTTTACGCCCTTACCAAGTATATTTACTAAACGCCCATACCAAACATATTTTACTTAACGCCCATACCAAATATATATTAATAAACGCCCATACCAAACATATTTTACTTAACGCCCATACCAAACATATATTAATAAACGCCCATACCAAGTATATTTTACTAAACGCCCATACCAAACATATATTAATAAACACCTATACCAAATATATTTTACTAAACGCCCATACCAAATGTATTTTAATAAACGCCCATACCAAACATATATTAATAAACACCTATACCAAGAATATTTTACTTAACGCCCATACCAAATATATTTTAATAAACGCCCATACCAAACATATATTAATAAACACCTATACCAAACATATTTTACTTAACGCCCATACCAAACATATAGAGGATATTTGTTTGTTTGTGTGTAAGATGAAATTTTATTTCATCGAGTGGGCTTTAAAAACAGTATTCTCACGAGTGGCGTAGCCACGAGTGAGAATACTGTTTTTAAAGTTCACGAGATGAAATAAAATTACATCTTACACAACAAACAGACAAATTTTCTTTTTATTTTATGCTTAAAAACAAGTTAAAACGAAATTTCCATAATTTTAACGTTAATATTAAAAATCTGTTTCCCCCATTGAGAGCCCCATTTAGACGGAATTTCTCATTATAAACAAGAAGTCTTGAGCTGAAAAAATAAGTCCGCTAATCAAGGTTAAATGACAGTGATATTTATTCATTTTATTAAAAAAATATGAATGATCCCTTGTTTTAATAATAAAAACAAACTATTCTTGTAGGAGAAAAAGTCCAACCATCCATCCACATTTCTGTTACTTACTGCGAATTTATATTAGACCTGGCTTTGTAAAATGTAAGCAGCAGCCATTTTTTAAAGTTGTGTATTTCATGGGAGGAAAATAATTGTGTAAGATTCAGAAGGATATAATTTGGATTTGTTAGTCATACACCTTTTTAAAAGAAAGAAAACTTATTTGAGGATTGTAACAGACAAAAAATAAGTGTTGACAGAGGTGAAAACATTCAGAAAAGGAGCTAGGAAATGGAAAATAAGGAACGCTGGGTTGTTTTACTTATTTTACAGTGATGGCTGTCAATGCTTTTCAATTTTTCATAAAGCATACGGCAGTTATTGCTCATAGGATACTTTAATATGCCCAAATGTCATCAAGAGCAGTTTTGCATGGGGAAGGAATGTATTTTTCAGACTGTAAAAACGAAACAAAAAAATTTAGAGACGAAATTTGTTGATTGGAATTTGAAGGAATAAAAGTATGTTTTCTCTCTTTATTACTTTTGACATTTAAGTTATTTATCTATTGCAGCTTTGCTATTTCTTTTAACAGCCTGACATTGTCAGAATTGTCAGTAAAAATAAAATTGGGGTACCACATGGGGAAAATCTTAATAAGTAGTTTCGTCATTGAAAAAAGTGAAATTATATTTTGATAATTTTCACTGTGAAATTATCAAATATAATTTTCACGGATAAATCAGTAATCCACTGAAAAGCATAAAATAAATATTAATAAACGCCCATACCAAGTATATTTTACTTAAAGCCCATACCAAATATATTTTAATAAACGCCCATACCAAACATATAATAATAAACGCCCATACCAAGAATATTTTACTTAACGCCCATACCAAATATATTTTACTTAACGCCCATACCAAACATATAATAATAAACGCCCATACCAAATATATTTTACTTAACGCCCATACCAAACAAATAATAATAAACGCCCATACCAAGAATATTTTACTTAGCGCCCATACCAAGTATATTTTACTTAACGCCCATACCAAATATATTTAACTAAGTGTATGTACCAAGTATTTTTTTACTCAATGCCAATACTAAGAATACTTTACTAAACGCACATACTCAATATATTTTTCTTAGCGCCAATACCAAGTATGTTTTACTTAGGGTCAGTACCAAGTATTTTTACTTAACGCTCATACTAAGTGTAATTAACTAAAAGCCCATTCCAAGTGTCTTTTACTAAACGCCCATACCAAGTTTATTTTACTTAACGCCCATTTAAGTATACTTTATTACACGCCCATACCAATGTATTTTTCTTAGCCCCCATAGCAAGTATATATTACTAAGTGTCGGTACCAATTACTTTTTTACTAAACGCCCATACAAAGTATATTTTACAAAACGCCCATACCATTTTCTTTTAACTAAGAGCCTTCCTTTACCAAGTATATTTTTCTAAGCGCCTATAGCAAGTTAAACATACCATACATAGTCAAGTTCTTCCTTTAATATGTCACTCGGCATACTTTTTGTGAGGTCTCTTTCTGAAAACATGCCAACTTTCTGTCGCATAATTGGCGCGCTGTTGTCTTCGTAATCGGCTGGAGGAATATCCGCGATATGAGACCTTCCATTGTAAATGACAGTTGATCTCGGTTCTATACCTGAGGAGTAATTACCCGATGATCTGTTACTATGAACACCGGACGAAGAGGCAGGTCTAGATCGTCTTGGATACTGGTCAAAACTTGAAGAACTTCTCGGAGTCATGGGACTTCGGGGAGAAGTTATAGGTTGGTAGACATCATATCTGTTTTCTGGTGCTACAGGTGGCGTGGAAATGCCATTTGAAGAGTGAAGAGATGAAATTTTGTCATCGGACAAGTCAAGGTTTGAGTTCGGTTTGCCCTCAGAACTTGTAGGTGATGGGTCTACAATGCCGCTCTCGTCTGAGCCATTTCTGTGTCGGCTGCCAACAATTGGTATCTGAAGACATTTCCTTTTGGTTGCTTTGTCAAGATCGCCATGTCTGCGGACCACAGTGTCATAGTCTTTTGGGGGCAGTAAGAGAGGCGCGGCAGCTTGTGTTTCTGTAAGCCGAAGACGAGCTTTAAGTTCATCTGTTACGGAATCAAACGGAACAGCGTCTTTTAGACTCTGAAGATCTGGTTCAATATCGTCACTTCCGGAAGGAAATCCCTCGTCGCTGAATGATCCCGAATCTGCCCCGGAATCTTCAAATTGAGCCCGGTCGCTCATTCCGTCAGAGGAATTGAACCGGTTGTTGTTGTGGTTCATGTGAGTAGTACGTACATGAACATTGATTGGTACTCGGCTTGGCTGGTCTTCTATATGACCTTGCTGGATGAGTTGTCGTTCGATATCGAGCGTTCGATCAGCGTTTGAAGCAATGATGTGGTTAAGGAAACGTGTGAACGTTGTCGCCGTCTCTGAAGAGTCAAATCTGTACACGTGCACGTGAACATATCTGAAATTATAGAATTGAAAATAAATTAATAATTTCCACAAATTAAATATCTGCATTACAAAATTGTTGAATTAAATCATTAAAAACTAAAACTGTCTTGCCGAAAAATATTAACTTTATCAACTGCAAAATAATTCGTTAAATTATTAAACTACAGTTAATGATAGCGTAGAAATGTTTATGAGAGCAAGGACTTTGTCTAACAGAGATTTATTAATACATTGAAATAAATATATTCACACATAAGATCGTCTTATCAATTAATTTTCTATCAAACGCAAACAAAACATAGCATATTTCTCTACATAGGCACTTTGCCCTGATATTAATAGACCAAGATCGATCAGCACAATTAATTAATGTAAATTCTTGCAAGATCTATAAGTACTTAAGCTGAAGTTAAAGGCCCTCCATCGATATTAACTACCGTGAATAACTAAGGACAAATCTTCACATAGATGAAGAATCTACGTGGGTTTCAAGTGCCTATTTTTAATTCAACGTTTTTAAAAATCTGCCCAAGGATATTCAATCAATCTGAAATATCCCAGCAAGTTAGCTGATTAGAGATAAAGTAATTCGGTTTATTAAATCTCCAGGTCGCAAATCCCAGTCCCGATTATCAATATGAATAGGCAACGTGAAATATGCATTAAATAAATTTAAAGAGGAACATGCATTCTAGTCATATAGTATGTTTTTTTTTAGACAAAGTTTGTGAAAAGTTTGAAATAGCAGCTGTCTTTATGAATCGAGAATGCAGCTAAATTGTTTTGATAATCAATAAATGCCTACCTCTGCGTTCTTGGAACATATCCGAGATAGATACATGCAACAATGTCGTCTGGTGTTCCGTCCAGGGGATTCTGGGCCTGCACGGCGAAAGTGATGTCACGTGACGGTATAATCGGGAACTTAATGGTCTTTATCTTCTTCCCTTTTTTCTTTTCGTCTTGTATGTCCTGAGTAATCTTCATTTCTTTCTTTCCAACTTGCAAAGTAAGTTTCGGTGCATATTTCCATTTCTTTGCTTTCCTGCGTAGGTCATTGATAACCGGGTCCGTGTATCGAACCCCGCGCAGGCCGCTGGTTTCTACCCATCCGAGAAACTGAACGTAAAACTGTTGTTTCTTCGATCCCAACATTGTTATGTCCTATATAATCCACAGACTCTGTATATATAAATTAGAATTATTAAATTTATATCCAATTGCGGTTATGCTAGTTCATATTATTATATTGTCTAAGTTCCGAACAAATTCTTTAATGCTAATTAAAATTAATTTTTATTATATTTATTTCTAGATCCTCACTTCTCAACACCGTAAAAAAGAATGTCGTTGACAGGTAGAGACCGCCTCTAAAATACCATTTTACAACTATCGTGTTTTACACCTGCCGTACAATTTAATCGCTCCTATCAATGAAATTGTCTACCTGAGCGTAGGAATACAAAATAGTTTAATACTGTATACGGGTGTAATTCGGTTCTTGGACGGTTAACAATACGCTTGTTTAAATATTTCCACGCCTCGTTTCTCATGGTGGAATTTCAATAGATCGGATCTTGTTTCGGTTAACCGATGTACACGGGCGATAATAATCTTTCTTAAAGCGAAAATCTACTAAATCTGTGGAAAGAATAATAGAAAATTGACAATTAGCTAAATAGGGAGGTTCAGCTTAATTCTACTTGCTTTAAATCTTTGAATGGACGTATTTGTTAATTGCGAAACAGTGTTAGTCGGTTTTATGGCAGTGTTAGATGTTAATTACCTCAAAATATTCAATCCGATGTTCGAATAATTGTCAATATATGAGCCGCGTCACGACAAAACCAACGTAATGGGTTTGCGACCAGCATGGATCCAGACCAGTCTGCGCATCCGCGCAGTCTGATCAGGATCAATGCTGTTCGCTATCAGTTTCTCTACTTGTAATAGGGTTTGTAAGCGAACAGCATGGATCCTGATCAGACTGTGCGGATGCGCAGGCTGGTCTGGATCCATGCTGGTCGCACACCCATTACGTTGGTTTTGTCGTGACGCGGCTCATATATCTTTGTGGTTAGATTTTAGCCACCCAATGTGGAAGCGGTTTTATATGTTAAACACTTTTGAATCAACTTATTTTCCCACAGTTCTCTGTAAGAATCCGCTGTAATACAATTTATATATATCTCTTTTAAGAAAAAATACATTGACCTACTTGTTTTCTGGTGACAAATTTAGGGTTATTCTGCTTCGGTCTAAATTATATTCATGTATACATGTATTTAGATCGGTCCATTAGAATAATATACTGTTGAATCCAACACAGCAAAAATGATTGATAATTTATCTTCGGATTGGTTTGTTGATGAATTTTGTATTTGTTTTGTTAATTTTTTACAGTAATTTTTTTGCTTCCTAATCAATAAGTACTACGTATTTATATAGCTTCTATTACTTTTTGACTTTTTTATCGACAAATTTTGAAGGATGCGCAGCAATTAATGAACACCAGCATCTTGGTTGTCACGTGAACTTCTTATCCCTTTTATACCACAAAACAATGTACTCATTCGCCTCATATATGCCTCTCCTTCTGATATAAAATATTAATCGACCAGGAGTTTGTTGTTAGAAGTGACGGGATCGGTTTAAAATTTGATTTCATCTAGATACGTTAATTGAAAATAGATATTTGTTTCACTTGTTTGCGATATTAAAGATGTTTTTGCTTTAAATGCTTTTATCAAACTTTATGTTGTTGATTATTAACGATATATTCGTTGTCCAATGAAATTGTATATATCGGGTATTATTCATGATTCAAAATTTCGAAACATGCGGGTAATATTATTTTGGGGAAAGTTTTAAGATGTTTTGTAATATTTTTTATTTATACAATTCATAGCATGATTATTAAAGCGACTTGCCTCAAGATTCAGTTAATTAGATGAAAATTTTGAAATTGTTTTAAATAATGAGCAAATGAAGTACATGTAGTTTAACTTTAAAACCAAGTATTTTTTCCTTGTCTTTTCGATGACCGCACGAAGTAACACGATTTACATACACAATGATCTATAAGACTTGGAGCGGGCAAGCTGTCTCATCCGTGTTAACTAGAAGCTTTAAAATTTATCTTCCAATGTATATATGTATATGTATATGTATATGAAAGGCCTATTTTTCTATAATGTCCTGTTAAATAAGACATCCCAAATGCAATCAAGTATATTTTCCCAGTCGTGAATCTGAGACAATCAACATATCGTTACATATCTTTTTGAGACATTCCTTCTTTTTTAGAAAAAAAGAAACACATACACACATGTAATACTAAGTATAATTATGTTTAAAAATTGCGCCCTTCTGTTTAGAAATGTGTTGAAAGAAATGTATAGGGTACCGGGGTACACCATCGGACTCCCAATCCGGATGTCATGGGTTCGAAACCCACCAGTGGTGAAATTCTCTTTCGACACACATAATCCACATTGGTGTGATTAGTCGGTTACGATTCTAAACACCTATACCAAGTTTATATCACTTTACGCCCTTACCAAGTATATTTACTAAACGCCCATACCAAACATATTTTACTTAACGCCCATACCAAATATATATTAATAAACGCCCATACCAAACATATTTTACTTAACGCCCATACCAAACATATATTAATAAACGCCCATACCAAGTATATTTTACTAAACGCCCATACCAAACATATATTAATAAACACCTATACCAAATATATTTTACTAAACGCCCATACCAAATGTATTTTAATAAACGCCCATACCAAACATATATTAATAAACACCTATACCAAGAATATTTTACTTAACGCCCATACCAAATATATTTTAATAAACGCCCATACCAAACATATATTAATAAACACCTATACCAAACATATTTTACTTAACGCCCATACCAAACATATAGAGGATATTTGTTTGTTTGTGTGTAAGATGAAATTTTATTTCATCGAGTGGGCTTTAAAAACAGTATTCTCACGAGTGGCGTAGCCACGAGTGAGAATACTGTTTTTAAAGTTCACGAGATGAAATAAAATTACATCTTACACAACAAACAGACAAATTTTCTTTTTATTTTATGCTTAAAAACAAGTTAAAACGAAATTTCCATAATTTTAACGTTAATATTAAAATCTGTTTCCCCCATTGAGAGCCCCATTTAGACGGAATTTCTCATTATAAACAAGAAGTCTTGAGCTGAAAAATAAGTCCGCTAATCAAGGTTAAATGACAGTGATATTTATTCATTTTATTAAAAAAATATGAATGATCCCTTGTTTTAATAATAAAAACAAACTATTCTTGTAGGAGAAAAAGTCCAACCATCCATCCACATTTCTGTTACTTACTGCGAATTTATATTAGACCTGGCTTTGTAAAATGTAAGCAGCAGCCATTTTTTAAAGTTGTGTATTTCATGGGAGGAAAATAATTGTGTAAGATTCAGAAGGATATAATTTGGATTTGTTAGTCATACACCTTTTTAAAAGAAAGAAAACTTATTTGAGGATTGTAACAGACAAAAAATAAGTGTTGACAGAGGTGAAAACATTCAGAAAAGGAGCTAGGAAAATGGAAAATAAGGAACGCTGGGTTGTTTTACTTATTTTACAGTGATGGCTGTCAATGCTTTTCAATTTTTCATAAAGCATACGGCAGTTATTGCTCATAGGATACTTTAATATGCCCAAATGTCATCAAGAGCAGTTTTGCATGGGGAAGGAATGTATTTTTCAGACTGTAAAAACGAAACAAAAAAATTTAGAGACGAAATTTGTTGATTGGAATTTGAAGGAATAAAAGTATGTTTTCTCTCTTTATTACTTTTGACATTTAAGTTATTTATCTATTGCAGCTTTGCTATTTCTTTTAACAGCCTGACATTGTCAGAATTGTCAGTAAAAATAAAATTGGGGTACCACATGGGGAAAATCTTAATAAGTAGTTTCGTCATTGAAAAAAGTGAAATTATATTTTGATAATTTTCACTGTGAAATTATCAAATATAATTTTCACGGATAAATCAGTAATCCACTGAAAAGCATAAAATAAATATTAATAAACGCCCATACCAAGTATATTTTACTTAAAGCCCATACCAAATATATTTTAATAAACGCCCATACCAAACATATAATAATAAACGCCCATACCAAGAATATTTTACTTAACGCCCATACCAAATATATTTTACTTAACGCCCATACCAAACATATAATAATAAACGCCCATACCAAATATATTTTACTTAACGCCCATACCAAACAAATAATAATAAACGCCCATACCAAGAATATTTTACTAAGCGCCCATACCAAGTATATTTTACTTAACGCCCATACCAAATATATTTAACTAAGTGTCTGTACCAAGTATTTTTTACTCAATGCCAATACTAAGTATATTTTACTAAACGCACATACTAAATATATTTTTCTTAGCGCCCATACCCAGTATATTTTACTTAGGGTCTGTACCCAGTATTTTTACTTAACGCCCATACTAAGTGTAATAAACTAAAAGCCCATTCCAAGTGTCTTTTACTAAACGCCCATACCAAGTTTATTTTACTTAACGCCCATTTAAGTATACTTTATTACACGCCCATACCAATGTATTTTTCTTAGCCCCCATAGCAAGTATATATTACTAAGTGTCGGTACCAATTACTTTTTTACTAAACGCCCATACAAAGTATATTTTACAAAACGCCCATACCATTTTCTTTTAACTAAGAGCCTTCCTTTACCAAGTATATTTTTCTAAGCGCCTATAGCAAGTTAAACATACCAAGCGCATGTACCACGAATCATTTGTATTTTAAAAGTGCTAATCATTGCATTGTTTAACCTCGTTATTTAATTAAATTCTTATTGACAAGCGACATGTCATATAACATCATAAATGTGTACATATATAATTTTTTAAATTAATATCACGACTGTAAAACTGCATGGCTAGAGAACGATGCATTAATAAATGTTTCAATAAAATTCTGCAATACCCTTGACATTATAAATTAGAAAAAGAAGTTCAAACCTTTTTATCCGGTAACTGAAAACAAACTGTCAATTCTTTACATGTATTTCGAACAAGTCAACGTATTGTTGTTGTTATTGTATTTATTTCGCTATCACTATAGTTTAGTTCTTATCTTTCCAATGAATTCACTTTTATCTCTGCAAAAATGCCTTCAACCAAATAAATATAACTTATATATGCATTCAGAAAACGCAATTTTCAGATTTAAGTGAGCATGAACTGGCATACTACAACTCTTTACTCAAATTGAGAATGTTTGCCAACAAATATAATCATCATATTTAATCTCCTGATAGAAATGTTTGACAATAGCTGCTTCTGAATTGAAAGAAGG